GAGTACGTCCAGTCACTTAATTAAAAATTTTTCTACAAACTTAAGACGGACAGAGGCCAACAGCAATCGTTAACTTATTCTATTTTTTCGTAGATCAGTTGCTTTGTTCTTCGGAGATGTATTTCCTCAATCCCAATTAAGGTAATATCCATCCCTTTCTATTGTAAGACAGAAATCTATTTACAGATGACGCTTGAAATATATTAAGAGCGTTGAAAAGTAAGTGGCAACCGAACAGGTCATTTATCATTAGCCCCCAAGTAACGAGGCGTGACCACATTTTCACGACATCGATATTATTGACTTATTATGACATTTGTCGCAGCGGGGTAGTCTGTTCAATAAGTACCAACAAGGTGAAAAAAACCGCGACAAAGGAGTCGTGTCGGTAGGTCTGCGGGTGAAAAAACGATTCATTATCGGTTATACCTTTATTTGATTGGAAAATCCTGTCGGACTTCGAGGGTGCGTCAGATCGTGCTGAGTGTGGCCACAACCTTTGTCTCTTTGGTTCACGGCATCCGTTTCCGGCCCTTATCTTATGTTACACATGTAACCACCATCTATTCGGCCTATTGTTGGCCACATGTGCCTCGTCTCGGAAAGTTTGCTTACGTTAGCTCATAGCGAAGCGAAGCTATGCGGCCAGGCCTGAGTGTAAAGCCAAACGACGAGCCGGCAGTCACCGTAGATAATTCTATCTAATGGACGGCGGAAAAGGATGACTACTCTGACCCTACTTGACCAATTACAAAGCTGTTTTGTTCTCGGTGTCAACGCCTAATAAATGCACGTTCGTAAAGGATTTACGGAACAAATTTTTCCGACTCTCTGCAAAATGTAATACACCAAGCGTTGCCCTCTTCTGCAAATATTGCGAGAGCATAAAACGCGCCAGGAATCCATACCAGTGATTTTAGATCTGTCGCGTTTGCAACTTTACTATAACTTACTATACTTCACTATAATAATAAAACAAGTTTACTTTAGTAACTTCACTTTAGCAAAGGCGTGCGACACGCACGATCTTTGATTCGGGAATCTGTGAAAAATGTCACGGCCTAGCTTGCTGCATTTATCCAGGATTATTCGTTCGATACCTCGCGCGTTCTGCGCAAGGGAATTTATACGAGTTTCCGCCTGTTACGAACGTAAGCAAGGATGAGCGTCGTTCGCTCCGTTGGCTCGGAATCGACAGGATCACGTCGAATCTCGTAGAAATCTCGTTTCCGACGGCAGCGACAAGACGGTCGTGGCGAGTCTCACACAAGTCTTGTCAATTCTTTTCTTCTCCTGATTGCAACCGACAATAAGAACATAAACCTTGTGTCCGTTATTCAAGAATGAATATACTTCTGCCTCTACAATTGCTCGTACGTTAAAGATATCCTTATTATCCTCGTATTAAAAAAAAACTGTCTAGAACACCTACGTTAAAGGTTAAACCGACGTGTCGGATTAAAATGCGACTAAACCAAGAAAGATTAGATTAAGCACGTCTAAACCAAGAAAGGCTGAATGAATGCAGCTTTACCAGGGAAGGTTGAATGAACTTGTGTAAACAGGAAACAATATTAAAAATCTATTCCCGGTACGTTACAAAGACTGCACAGACCTAACTTTACAATAACGTTTAAATGATAAATTAATGGCAAAATCCGACGTGTGTGCGTTTCAATAATTCTCAAATATACACAGACAGAAAAGTACGTAGTATTTGCGACTATAATTGCATAGTAAAATAATTATAGTCAGGAATATCATTTTTATAGTAATTATTACTATACTAGTAATGGCAACCATATAGACACAGTGATGCCAACTGTTTAAAAAAAATTTACCATAAAAATATATGCTTTTAACTATTATTCTTGTAAAATGTCCAGGTAATGAATAGTAAATTAGTTAATTATTTTTATATAGTAAATACAATCACAATAATAGTAAATTCAATTACATTTATATCATCTACCGTACTAATCACATGTTAAACAAAAGTGAAGTAGCTCGGAATGTTCTCACTAGAGGGACGCGCGGTATAAGACTTTCTCGGAAGAAGAAAACCGCATAGGGTGTTGTAACTACGGATAAGTTTATACATTTGTGTACA